TTTCCAGCTTTCCTGTTGAATACAGATGTGGGGAGCATGCCACTTGTGTAAATCCTATTGAATTAAATAGTACCAAGCCTTGGTATTCTTTTTTTTAAGTCTGATACTGTGACTTGGCAGAAAACATGCTAGAATCTGTAAGACTTAATTATATTATTATTAACACTACTAATTCACATTGTATCTAAATAAGCTATGTTTGACTTTCAGAACTTTGATCAGTTAATCTACCTGCCTCAAAGAGTTGAGAGGATGATCAAATAAAAATGAAGGCTGTTTTGAAAATTTATATAACTCCAAGATTATTGAGTTGTTATTATTATTAATGGTGTCTTGAGACTCTCTAGCTGCCAAGTGGAATGACTCTTACTGGAATTTTGTGACTTGTTTTATAGCTGCTTATCATGTAAGGTTTGAGTGTTTTAGTTAATAAAAATTGTTTTCTTTCCCTAAAGTTTAATAATCTGGTTTGTCATGGGAATGAGAACTTTCAGGCTTATGGTCTAATTCATTTGGTTGAAATTCATCCTTTGCAACTAGATTTTGTGCTAAACAGGATTTTGTTTTTTGCAATCTAAATTGTGGACCCAGGAAATGTCATTAGCTTCTTTGAAAAAAAAATCTGCATCAGCACTTCAGCTATGTTTTGTTCTGCTAAATTGCCTTGACTTTTTAATTGAAAGGCAGTTTATTATAATTTTAGTATCAGCATTACAGAAAGTCATGGAAATATTTAAGGATCGTATGGTTTGAACTCTCTCTGACGAGCAGGAAATTATCTTGTCTGCCGGGCTTTCAACAGATGACATTCACCCACTGGATATATCAGACATTAAACTGAAAATTCAAATAGAAGTCAAATTCAGACTTGTAACAATCAGCTTCTACTTTATGCATGTCCCAGAACACTGGGGAATATATTAAATCAGTCCTGACACTGCTGTCTTTCACCCATTCTAATCTTGAAGATCTTCATTTAACCCTTTCCTGTGGTAAATTATTTTGATTTTTTAGTTTCTGCAATGATTTCAAATGATTTCAGCATATCCATGCAATGTTTTTAAAAACTCTCTTGGTTATCACTTTTATATTAATAAAAGAAGCAAATACCAAGTTTGAGGCAGCTAAATGCAGCAGTACTGGTGATCAAACTCAGGGCCTTGCACATGCTAGGGAAGTGCTCTACCACAGAGTTAACATTCCCAACTTGAGTTTTTTTCCCAGCCCGATTTTTTTATTACTGGCCTCAAAATAGTTATATCACCCATTTATCATACATATAATTTATCCCACCTATAATAGCCCCTTTTTACTATGTTGTTATGGTTTGGATGTGAGGTGTCCCCCAAAAACTCACAAGCAAGACAATTCAGGAAGGTTCAGAGGAGAAAGGATTGGGTTGTAAGAGTCTTAACCCAATCAGTGAATTGATCCTTGATGGGATTAATTGAAGTAGTAGGGTGTGGCTGGAGGAGGTGGGAATTGGGCATGGCTACGGGGTATGTACCTATATTGGTATTTACCCATTTTGTATCTGGAGAATGGTATCTCTCTCTCTGCTTCTTGATCACCATGATGTGAGCTGCTTCCTCTGCCACACATTCTGCCATGATGTTCAGCCTCATCTTGAGCCCCAAGAAATGGAACCAGCCTTCTATGGACTAAGACCTCTGAAAACATGAGCCCTCAAATAAAACTTTCTCCCTCTTCAATTGTTCTGATCAAGTCCTTTAGTCTCAGCAGCAAAAAAAAGCTGACTAAAACCTACACATTATAGGAATTTTAATAAGTAAAGTAGAAATATTTATCTTAAGGATTTTGTTGGGATATTTGCTCCTAGGTGGACATGAAGTTTTTGGGATCCAGTGAAAACCGTCTGAGTTAAGGAATTAACAAACACTTGAAGTGGAGTTGTATCAGATGTCAGTGTATTAGTTTGCAATGAAATGTCTCTATTTTGTTAAATGGATAAAATCTTCATATAGTAAAAATTTCTAATAGTAGAAAGATAGTATAAGGGAAAAGTTTCTCTTCTGTGGCCCCCAGCTTCCCATCTAGCGACAATTCTGATGGCCAATCTCTTCTGCCTTTTCACAGAGAATACTGTACCTTTACAAACAGATAAAGGATGCACATCATTCTTTTTATTTAAAACATACTTTTCAGTTCCTTTTTAAATTTCACTTATGTATCTTAGATACCCTTAATATTGGTATTTTACAGAGTTACTTTATTTTTTTCATTTTAATTTTTTGGTATAGGGGACTGAACCCAGGGTTACTTAACCACTGAGCCACATCCCCAGCTTGTTACTTCATTTTTAATGGTTGCTCAGTGTACCTTTGAATGTTTCATGAATGTTTAACCAACCAACTCCCTGCTGATAGATATTTAGCTTGTTTTTAATCTGTTCATACTACAAACAATATTTGATAGTGTTTTTTGTGTACCTATGCCTGCATAGCTGTACAATAAATTTCTAGAAGTAGAATTGCTGACTCAAAGAGTAAGCATATTTATTTTGTTTTGATAGTCATTTCCAAATTGCTCACCAAAAGATGAACTATTTATAGCTTAATCAACAAAGTTTAAACATTATAGAAATTTTTATCTTTCCAAGGACAGTTATTTATGCCCCTCTTCCAAATCACTCCCAGAATTTAAATACCTAGAAAACCAAAATTCAGAGATTCTTAATGAGCATGAAATGAGGGCCAACGGAGCTGCATGGTCTTGAGGGGTTCCAGGCAAGGCCTCGGCTTCGCCAGCCTCTACCTTCTCACACATCCCAGGTCTCATTTTTTTTTTTTTTTTTTGTACCAAGCTTGACAAAAAGCAGCAAAATCAAATCTCTTTTTTCAAATCCCTATACCAATAATCCCCTTTCACTATGCTGTACCATTATATTTTCATTCTTTCTTTTACCATATATAATTCTATTATATATAGATTGTGATTTTTTTAATTATTTCATTTTAATTTGCCTGATTACAATTACATGTAGGGTAAGTTCCTTCAGAAATAATAACACAAAATAACATAGAATGGATTATCAAAACAGCGAATTCCATCAGTGGTTCATGAATCTATACTCAGAAATAGCACTTACTGGTTCCTAAAAGCTTGATTTTTCTTGTCATCTATTTCAATATTTTGCTTGTTTTAAACTCCTAGGCTCAACTATATTTGGTCAGTAGTCCTCTCTGGCCTGATTACCACTGACTGATCAATATATTATTGTAAAGTGTTTTGGCAGAAGCACTCTATAAAAGCCACCAGTGATATTTCATCCCTAGATTTCCAAATGTACACTAATGAGTTGCGTGTTAGTACAGTACATTGATTTGTGTGATCCATGTCTAGCAAATATATAGTGATCACAAGATGGTAGGTTGTACTTTGTTTTTAAGAGTGTCTTCAAAATTATGTCATGTTTTAAATGGTATTTATATTACTATGCAGTGCTTCCCATGTAATTCTGTGAATAATTTGGTCACTGTATTACCCAGCAGTATGTTCTTTTTTCATTAAATCATTCTTTTATTTCCTATTTTCATGACTACTATTTTAAGAAATAAAAGGAAGTCAAAGTAATTACCATTTATTTACATTATTAGAATGTACTAAATATTTCATAGTCTTGGAAATAAAGACACAGTGTAATTGGAGAGGGATGCAGCAGCTAGGTTAGAGGAATTCTGTTAGAAGTCAATGGGTACTATTTTTTTTTTACCCCTTTGACAATGTCATGGACTGACTATTAATGATTATAATCAGTAATGGTAAGTTCTGGGGATTTGATGTGCTCCATTAACCTAGTACATAACAGATATAATGGCACTCCCTTACCTCTTGCAGTCCCTATAAAAGTACATTTTTCTAACTGGGTGCCATGACAAATGCCTGTGATCCTCAGGGAGGTTGAGGCAGGAGGATCGAAAGTTTAAAGCAAGCCTCGGCAACTTAGCAAGGCCGTAAGCAACTTAGCGAGACCCAGTCTCACGACACTAAAAACTAGCAGGAGATTGGCTCAGTGGTAAAGTGCCTCTGGGCTAACGTATCCCCAGTACCCCAAAGAGAGAAAGGAGAAGGTAGTGGAGAGGGGGATCTTTTTCTTAACAAATACTTTTCTTAAAAATATTTTTCTTATAACCTTAAGCTTAGAATAAATTCTACTCTTTTTTATCAGCTAGAATGATGTCTTTGTTAGGATATAGGTGTCAGTTTTAGTTTTCTAAATAGAATCAGTTTCCCTCATTGAGTCTGGTTTCACCTTCAAATTAGTGCAAGTTTGTAGATAGTCATTAGCAAGGAAGAAATTTTTTAGAATGAGTTGCTCCTCTCTAAATATTATGAATAACATACTTTATCACAAGATTTCATTGCAGAATTGTGTTAATGAACTTGAGGAGCTGATCTGGAATCTTGATTGCTATAAATTTATGTTTTTCTAGATGAAAGAGTTCCTTATTTAAAAAGAAATCATGGAAACAAAACTCTTTCCAAAATTGAGAACTAATCCTATTGTAATCATTTCTCTAGGAATTGCATACTGAATGATGTTTATTTTGTATTTGAAACCTATTATGAACCATTCTCTTTAAATGCATAATTTTCAGTTACATTTAATATTTCTTACAGTTACTCTTAGATATTAAGCTATCTTTAAAATTGTAAAATGAGTAGATTTAGTATGACAGAGGAGAGTTCTTTTAATTATTTTACAGTGGCATATTGTTTTAGTGCTGTGGAATAAGCCACCAGAAAGGTAAAGCAAATAAACTGGTAATAATTCAGCAACAAAACATTTCCAAACTTATTCCAGAAAATCTGAGCCAAGAGCTGATAAATGTAGGATACTTTGTCCAGCATTATCAACTACCACTGAAGAGAGATGGGATTCCAGAGTTGGTACTTAGGAAAGAGAACACTCAGAAGATCTATCTGCTCTGACTCATTGCTGCTGCTACGGAACTCAAATGTTTGTGTTTTTATTTCAGTGACATTGTATGCCTCCTGTATTCTCCTGGGAGTTTTCTTGAATAGCAGTGTACCTATATTTTTTGAGCTTTTTGTGGAAACTGTCTACCCAGTTCCAGAAGGAATTACTTGTGGAGTCGTCACTTTTTTAAGTAATATGTTCATGGGAGTACTTTTATTTTTTCTCACATTTTATCATACAGGTAAGAAATTTGATTTTTATTTGCTATCTCAATGTGTTATTGTAGAGGTTCATAGCATTAATATAGGAACTTTATATGGAGAATGCTCACTAAAACCAATTATGTGAGTATTCACATGCCAATAAAAACAAAATCCACAATTATGTTTCTTGAAATGTATTGTAGCCTACATGCACCCTCATCCTCACCCCCAGAGTTTCTGAATTAACCTGATGGACGCTGAGCATTTGTATTTTTAAAAATCTCTTCCCAACTTACTCCCTGGACAGATAGATAACTCTAATATTCAGCTTCTTATTGAGGACTAGTGGTGAGTGTAAATTAATGTCAAGAGGATGTATGTAGTTTAAAGCCATAAGGATGAATAAGAGGTTGCACAATATAAGAAGTGCTCTAAAATATGACACTCCAAGAGGCCACGTTGTTTATAAAGAACTTTGTGACAGGCTTATAATTAAAATAATAACCATGTTAACCTCCCTGACTAGACAATAAATTTTTAAAATTTTCAAAGCAATGAAACAGATCTTCCTGGGTTTTGGACAACTTCAGGGATAGCACTCTCTCCTAAATGCAAAAAGCATCCAAATGATAGAATCATAATATAATTAACAACAAACTAGATTGTCCCTGTAAGTCAATAGTGCAGATAAAGTAGGCCTTAACTCTGCTAAACCTGATGCAGGTTAGGTGTACAATGAAGGAGAGTGATAATACAGACAGAATCCACTCTTTATTGTCCTGGAAATATGTCTCCAGTAAGGAAAAATGTCATCACCAGGTATTGGATGATCTTTGCTTCCAATTCACTTTTTAAACAGACTCTTATGACAATTATTACATATAAGTTTTAATCTAGTTCACTTGTGTCACCCTGGAAATTAAGAGGTTTATTGCTTCTCTTTGCCTGGCAAAACATCAGAGATGGCTATGAAGTCCCCTAGCACAATAGAAACAGTTTTCTAGCTGATGGGCACAGGTTTGCTAAATGGCCTAGTAGACATGGTTTTCCCAATCAGCTAGAAATAGAGTGTTGTCCTTACAGTATTTACAAACAACAGTAGATGTCAGACAATGATATTCCCCGATAAATCTTGCTTGTGATCTCCAGTGTACAAAAAACACATATTCATTGATCTAAGGCAGGGAAAACACCAATAATGACAACTATTCTAAAATATTTATATTAGTTTTCTGTTGCTATAACAAAATACCTGAGACTGGGTACTTTAGAAAGAAAAGAGGTTTATTTAACTCATACTTTTGGAGACTGCATCAGATCAACTCTAGTGAAGATAGCATGGCATGGTATCACAGTGGCAGGGAGCATATGTAAGAGGGTGAAATCATATGGCAATATAGCCAGCTAGAGAGAGGAAGGGCAGTAATAACCTCCCACTGGGACCCACTTCTTAAAAGACTCACCATCTCTTAATATCACCACATGGGACCAAGATTCCTATGCATGAATCTTTGGAGGACACACTCAAATCATAGCACTGTCTGATTGCAGAAAAACTCCGTGCATCCCTGAGCATTTCACTAAGTCAGTAAAGTATCTGTTACTCTTCTAGGTCCAGCTATAGCTTTTGATTTGTACAACAGAGACTGATATCTGGCACAACTTAACTGTAACTATTATTAGTTATTGTCCACTCCTCATTTAGCAAATTCACAATGGCCAAATGCTTCAGGCAGATATTTTTGTTTCTTTGCTAGGTAACTGAAGAAACACCATTTTAACTAATTCTCATCTTACAAATACAATCAGGGATTTATCTGGCTGGGATTTAAAAAAAAAAAAAAAGTCTTCCCTCCTTTTAGGTGCTTTCTGATCACATGGTCTTATATATACCTGAATGAGCATTAAAAGATTTCTGCCTAAACTCTGATTATTGTGACCTCATGAAATTTGAAATAGTAATTTTAATACACCAATATAATTTCTGGGACACAGGGGTGTCTCAGTAAACTCTGGCATTTTTGATAGTAGATGAGATGATTTGTATGAAAGAGCCTATATGTCCAAGGAATAGCTGGCACTCACCAAGTGTTTGTTTTGTTTCCTTCTAGATGATTAGTTGGTTGATGTTAGGTATTTAAATATCTAGGCTTCTGTTTTAAAGAAGTGCTCTTGTGTATATATTTGTAGGTCTGTATAAGAATATACACAAAGAGGGGCTGGGGTTGTGGTCAGTGGTAGAGAACTGACTTAGCATGGATGAAGCACTGGGTTCAATCCTCAGCACCACATAAAGATAAATAAAGGTATTATGTCCATGTACAAATAAAAAATTTTTTAGAAGAATACATACAAAGATATCAACATTTCTAAGGCAAAGTTGTTGGTACCATGAAATCACTCTTGAAATTCTTTTCACATATGATTAATTGATCCTGTCCTAAAAATCCTGCAGAACAGGCCCCCATTGTTTATGGAATGAGATATAGTAATATACAAATAGCAAATCTGAAAATTCTGTGAAACTGTTTCCTAAAAATAAATTCTAGTTCTGCAACCTAGTACACTAAACATTTTCATATGATAAACTGAATTTCTTTCCAATTGAGCCAGTATTCATATGTCATAATTCAGCAATTTTAAAACTTGAGCAACTCACCCAGTAGTTATAATTAAAAATTCAAGTATTAGTTACATGATTACAAGGCCTGGTTGTTTTTTTTTTTTTTTTTTCTTTCATTTCTTTTAAGAAGGTCTTGGTGTTTTGTTTTGTTCTTGTAGTTTTAAGAGACAGGGTCTCACTATGTTGCCCAGACTCAATCTCCTAGGCCCAAGCAATCCTCCTACCTCAGCCTCCTGAGTACTGTGGGACTACAGGTGCACAACACCATGCCTGGGAAGAAGTCCTGAATTTTTTATTCATAAAAATCTGTAGTGCTTTTGGTCACTTCTCAAGGTACTTCCTGACTAGGATTTTTTCCCCACCCACGGAGTGCTATCTGGGGTGACTGTATCAGATAATTTTTCAGGACTATGCAGCTATCCCCAAAATGATCCATTTGAATGCCTCACTTAGCAAGGTAGTTTCCACTGGCAACTTGTTGCAGATTAGGGTCATTGCTGTCATCGAGGGCAATTGTTACTCAGGCTTAGGCTCCTATACCAAAGTCACTGGTTTATTTGGAGCCCCAAGTCCCAGTATCTGCACATTCTATTTCAGTTCTCCTTTGGGTACCTGAATCCATGTCAGAAGTTTCCTAGAGTTTTTCTGACTTGGATTTTTGAAGGTCATTTTCAAAAAAAAAAAAAAAGTTACTTCATCTTCATCCCTAATATCAACATATTTGTAAAACTGAGTTGCTTCCTACAGTGTTTGCTTTGAGAATCTCAGTGAGTTGAGACAGCACAGTGATGCTTTTTTCTAATAACTTCATATACAAAATCAATTTGCAAATGCTGTTATGTCCTTTATGTGCTCTGAAATGTATTCTATTTTATATTATGTGGTTTGTGTTATCTGGTATTTTTTATAAGCTTTGCATCAATTTCTGTCTAAAAATACAAAGATTTTGAAGTGGCTTACTTTGATTTTGAGGTTGCACCATTACCTAAAAGACTTAGGGGCCTGGCCGAGGTGGGAAACATTGTCTAATGGTTACCAGGAGAACAAAGGTCAGGTTCAACAGATGTGGAGTAGTGCGAAGTAATTTTATGTCCAAGAAGTACAGTGGTGCAGTGTGGAGGTGGTAAGAACTAGTGAGTAATTAATTGGCACCAAGAAAGCAGGCTTTTAAGCTGGAATATAGAGGTGTCAGCTGACTGCTCACCCTGGGTTTAAATGGAGATATTTTTGTTAAGTCATCATGAAAGAAAAGGAGGGTGGTAACTGGAAACCAAGCACTTGCAGGTGGTCTAAGTGGAAAGTGTAACTTCACTGAGGGAAGACAAGGTGCTTCTAGAAGGAAGAGGTAAGAAGATGAGCAAAATCCTAATGAGTTCCGTCCCTACCAAGCACCGCCACTAGCAGAGTCCACCGCCGCACTGAGGGACAGGTGGTGCCTAACTGCGGATTGACCAAGAGAGGGCCAACTGTGGTATGGTGGATGACAGGGAACCAACAAAGGCGGGGATGAGTTGTGTGTTCCCGCCTTTGGGTGTGGATTTGGCTTTCCTCCAGGGAGCAGAGGAGGGAGGGAATGCCAGTGAGCTGCTCCCAGACGAAAGGGGGGATAGGAGCACTTCAGTGGAGCAGGAGTCTGTTGATTCAATTATATCCTGTGACATTGAGCTCAGAAAGGACAGTGATTGACTCTGCAAATGTTAAGCCAAATTAAATTTTTAAGCAAGCCATTTCCTGCTTATTAGAACACGTAAACTGTGGTTTCTGTAAATGGTTTTCAGTGGGAAAATGTAGCTGTTTCCCTGTCTCTGACCTTCTGCTTTCTGAAAAGGCAAGAAATTTCAAAGAACACTTGCAGTTGTTTGAGACAAGTGATTTACTGAAAGGTGGATTTGCCTTTCAGAGAGGAGCACACAGTAGAAACCAATCAACAAACTGTGATATTAAAGAGCAATTATGAGGCATTTTAGAGATTTCATCTGACCCAGGTAGAAGGGGTAATTTTACAACTCTGATAAAATAAATGGACTGTTTTGGCAGTCCATTAAAAATTAAAAGTTTTAATGGAAGAAGAGCAACGACAAGTTGATGGTTGCCACGTTTGTGTTGCTTTGGCTTCCATAAATTATGATCGCTAAGATTTAGCGATCATAGACCATGGTGTTAGTATCATACTTTCTTTGAATTGTTGCTTAAAATGCAGCCTTGAAATTAGTGTCCTTTCTTACTATGAATACAGACAATATGCTTTTGTCTATATTTTACTGCTTTTTTTCTTTTCATTTTTTTTACTACATCATCAGAAATCCAAGTTATATGGTTAATATAAAAGCAAACAAAGGTCTGGTGTGTCATTTCAAGGAATATCAGAATAAAGACAAGATCCCAGAGGTCACAGCTTTTCAGAGTATTTAGGTTATATGCAATCCAAGTAAAGCACAGGAAACAGCTTTATATAAAAATGCCATTAAAATATACATCTTGTTTCACACTATAGAATAACATGCCCAACTTTTTTTTTTTCTTTTCTTAATGTAGTAACTGAGAGATGAGATGGATGCTTTTGTGGGGGGAAAAAAAAACTATTGCTACCCTTTATTGGTTGGTTTTCTGATTTCCATTCCTGAGCATAAATTGCTCTTTTAGGCTATATGAATTATGGATTAAACTAAAGCAGCAGTGTGGAAATCTTTAGGATGATTTTGAAGATTAAGAGTGTTAGCATTCTGTAGAAGTACAAAGCAAAAGATAAACCTATGCAAGTGACCAAAAAAAAAAAAGAAAGAAAGAAAAAGAAATATGTTTCTCCTGTTCATTTTCACTGGATATGATAAATGGATATTAATCTAGAGAAGTGTCCCCAACAATAATCTCTTTACCACCAAGGAGCTGCTCACTTCAAAGCCTTGTGATTGATGGGCATGTGGTGTTGGGATAGCAGAAGCTAAACAGATGCTGATACTCAAGGGTCCCTGGAGCTCTTGGAAGCAGCCAGGGGCAGCCATGGTTGGGCGGAATGTGTTAGGCGAGGGGGCCCCAAATTGTTCTGTTAGTCCTGAATTCCTAAGAGCATTTTTGAGGGAGCAAATCCTTGATACCATTAAGTCGGGTAATGGTAGAATTGCCTGTTTAAATGACTTCTGTAGGTTTTCCTATAATTGACATCATACATAATAACCATTCATGCTAGTAGAAGAGACAACTAGAAAGAAATAAACCAGAATGCTCACAGTGGTCTCTCTAGGGGGAGAACTATGATTGATCTTTTCTTTTTTGAGTTTTTATGTTTCCATATATTTCCTAATCTATTTTTCAGTGATTAATACTTAATATTTCTGCAGAGAAATACATATAGGAATACATGAAAATGAACAGGGGAAACATATTTCTTTTTCTTTTTGGTTACTTGCAAAGGTTCATATACATGTGTATTTCTATACATATTTCTATACGCATTTCTCTGCAGAAACCCCCAAAATATAAAAGTGTTATCTTGAAATTCAGGTGATTTTCCTGTTTGTCTTTTTAATTCAGACATTTCTAAACAAGGACAAGAGTGATGGTGATAGGGGGTACTTAAAAAACAATTAACAGGGCTGGGGTTGTGGCTCAGTGGTAGAGCACTCGCCTAGCATGTGTGAGGCACTGAGTTCAATTCTCAGCACCACATATAAATAAATAAAATAAAGTTCATTAACAACTAAAACTATTTTTAAAAATTAACAAACTAACACTTAAAGGCAATCATTTTTTTCTTTGGAGTGGATTGATTTACAACCCAAGTCAAGGTGGACAAATTGATGAAAAGTTATTACCAATATTGATTTAAAATATTCCCCATGAAAGCCCTATATTACACACATCACTGAGTCTCCAGATCATCACTGTTTATTGAAAGCCAGTTTCCAAGCCTTCCAGGGTACATTTATTATAAGTGCTTTTGAATGCATAGCAGATTCCTCCCACCATATAGGTGGTGATCTGCTAGTGCTACGTGAATGCTTAAAACTGCACATTTTTGTCTTACAGAGTTGTCTTGGTTCAACTGGTGCCTTCCCGGGTCGTGTTTGCTCAGTCTCCTCCTCATTCTGTGCTTCAGGGAATCCTATGACAGACTTTATCTTGATGTGGTTGTCTCAGTTTAATAGCACAGACTCGAGGGAGTTTGAATGGAGACTGGAAATCAATACTGCACACTGCAGATTTGCTTGGAATTGCACATCTAACAGGAAAAAAGGAGAAGAAAGAAACTTCATTCAGAGGTTTTGTTAGGTTACAGATTATTGCATTAATTTAACTACTGCTAGGTAATAATAATGTGGGACTTGAGTGGTAATAGGGGATTTTAAAACTCTACAAGTGGCATACCTGTGCCCAATTTTGGGGTTGGAAGAGTGACGTCTTACACATTCAGCACTACCTAAGGAATTCCCTCTGTGTTTTGTGCCAGTGCTAAACTACTGATAAACTGTAATTATGAAAAGAAAAGAAGGCATCTATCACATGAAGATAACGCCTCCTGAGGTCACATGACAGAATAGGAAGAAATGCCACTAACTTCTAAAGAAGTTTAAACCCTGTATCAGATTTTAATGACAAAATAGCCAACAGTATATCGATAATAGAAATTAGCCACGTGTACACTACATGTTTTTTCTAATAAAGCCATTTCTTATATGACTCCTCATTTTTAATCAGGTCAGAAGCCTTTGGCCATCCGTGTCATGGGGATCAAGTGCTTTCCAGGGACTTCAGAGCACAAGCACTGTGTCTCCATCTCAACTCACCCTTGTTTCTCTGAATACAGTTTCATCTGCGAGGCCCTTAAATATCTACAGTAAGGGTGACTAACTGCTTGGTAGGGTTGCAGTAACTGTTGTATGAAGAGTGTGGTTCCGTTATGGCTGAGCACTTTGTTAAAAGCAAAATGACCAACCACACAGAGCATGTGTGTCTTCAACCTACATGTGGCGGCATAAGCAGTAAAGTTCAGCGCCAACTGTTATTTAACCAGGGTTAGATTTTATTAAATGACCCTGAAAACAAAAATTTCTAACATCAAAATTTTCCAATCTGTTGAGTGATTTCTGAATCATACCCTTGTGTTTCAGTTCAGGTTGTAAATATTCAATTCTGTATGAAGTCAGTATATTTGAGAGGGCAGCATTTTGCCAGTACCTATTTTTTTTCTATGAATGGTAGATTTTTTTTCAAATAGCAGTAACTCATTGGACAGCTCTCAGACATGATTTCACTATGACATAAAATCCGCTGTGGTGGTAGCATGCTAACTCAAATGTTTAACATTTACACGATTCCCCTCACACAGAAAAAACAAACACTTCCCCCAAAGTCAAGAATAACACTACCTTTATTACTCTCTGCTTCCTCCAGCTCCCTTCTTTCCTCTCACTTGAAATTGTCACACCATTTTCAGCTAAGTGTGTATTTTACTTGTCTTTCTGGACAGTGTAAGCCAGTCCCGTGTCAGCTAGGGTGGGGAAGCGTGGTTAAGGAAGCTGGCAGCCCTCACTCCTGCTTGTCAGGGCATGTGTGCATACCCTCACGCTTCACAAGCACCTCAAATGCCTCGCCCTGCCCTCTTAGCAAGCTCAAGACTATGCATTAACTCACCTCAGGCCTGGAGGAGGATTCTAGGACTGCCTGGTATCTTCCAAGACTCTGATTGTGAAAGTAGGAAAATAAGAAAACCCTCGAAATGAACATCCTTCATTCACCTTTGACTCATCTCCCTTTTTAAAAAATTTTTTATAACCTTTATTTTATTTTTATGTGGTGCCGAGGATCAAACCTGGTGCCTCACCATGCTAGGTGAGCACTCTACCGCTGAGCTACAACCCCAGCCCTGAATCATCTCCCCTTCTAACCACCTGCTCACTTAGCATCAAGAACTGAAGGAACTTGGGAAAGAGAAGAAATCCTGTGAAAGCTAGTCTTGGTTCCAATTGACTCTCTCATCCTTCTTAAGTAAAAATGAAATAAAGTGAAGTTAGAATTCTTGAAGATGATTGAAAGTCAGCATTAAGGATATTAGTAGGCCATGACCTGGATGCTAAATAACCACCACCCCTTTCCATTTAGAAAGCAGGAAAGAAGCATGGAGTATGGGGTTTAGACACACCATTGTGTTTAAGGACTATGCTATATCAAATCCTGTATAATGAGACTTCTGACAAAACATTTTAATTAACAGTTCATTCTACTTTTAGCAAAGTACAGAATAACACATACAAAATGATACATACCTCAGTAACTGATTAGCTGGAAGACATCCCAAATGGGCAGTGATTAACAGTTCTTGCTTTGGACCAGGCACTGACTGTTCTTTGGCCTAGGTGCAGGGAGCCGAGTCTGCCGGTCCCCTCCAGGTCGGCTTACCCCTCCAGTTGATCATTGTTCTAATCACAAACTGCAGCTGTTTTAAATGATCAAAATTTCATCTGCCAGGCCTGATAGGAAGAAAACCAAAGGCTTGTGTGTGGGGAGAGGACCATATGTTATTTATCTGAACATTGCAAATCATAATTTTTTGGTTTTTATTCCTAGCCTGCATCAAAATAGACTAGCTGTTATCTTTGTACTTTTTGAACACACATTGTAGAACCCAAATGAAGTCTTATAACTGGAAGAAATCTTAACTCTCCACTAATCCAAGCCCTCATTTTAGAATTTACAGACATGGTCCTAGAAAGATAAAGTATCTTGCCAAAGTATTAGTTACAGTTATCCCCCAATATCCATGGAAGATTGGTTCCAGGACAACCCCCCATACACAGATATCAAAATCCTCAGAGATCAAAATCCTTTGTATAAAATGTATTAGTACTTGCAGATAACTGATTTAAATCCTCCCCTATACTTTAACTCATCTACCTATACAATGTAAACACCATGTAAATAGTTGTTACACTGTGTTGTTATTAAGGAATAATAACTTTATCTGTCTTTAGTACAGGTACAATTTTTTTTTCAAAAATGTTTTATCTTTGGTGGGTTAAATCCACAGATAGAGAAACTGTGGAGAGGAAGGACCCCGTGTAATAGAAAGGAAGAACTAAGACCCACATTTTTATTCCCAAAATAGTTTCTCCTCCTTACCTCACAAATTGGTAGGTTAATTTAGACCATTTCATGGGTTCATGAATATTCTTCTGTGTCCAAAATTGATGGGGCTTATGAATGAATTGTCATTATCGAGTATGAAAAGTTCAGGAACTAAATCGAGGTGATCACTGATTTACAAGTGAGATTATAAGTAAAATTTATAAATAAATCATTATCCTGTAGGTGTTCTAACATCTCTTAAGTCTTAACTTGCAGTGACATTGTATGAAAGATTCTGATGAATAATTCAGTCCTCATAAACTCAGCTAACAGCATTATTAATTGGTAAGGACATGTTATAGTGTAAGTTCCCTGTGGCTTATCAATTAATACTTCACAGTTTATGGGAAGAAGCAGTTTTTAATATGATCCATGGTAGAGGTAAAGCAATAAGATAATTACACAAGTGCATTTCACTGGAAGATGGAGCTATTAAAACAACAAGAGGGAATCAAGTGCACATGTAATTTTGTATATTTAAAACATATGGCCTCAGGGCCAGGTTTTATCATGGATCATATATTCATGTTTAATTATTGAGAATGTTTACAGCTTGTTTTTATGAAGCTTCTCTAATGAAGGATCCAAGCTAAGGGATTTTAAGTTGAAAAGATTAAATCCCCATCTACTTATCTTTTAATTAGTTTTTTTTAACTCTTATTTGTACTAAAATCCAGGCATTTGTCTTGCAATCTGCATGAATACAAGCTTCATTTTAAACTCAAGATCAAATAAAAATGTATAGCAAATTTGTTTTCAATTAAGGTTAAGAATCACATTAATTTTTTCCCTGAAATAATAAGTACAGGAATTACTATGATCATACCATATCACCAGGCAAGTACAGAAGCTGGGATATGGGGAACTCCCCAACTCCTAGACCAGCATTCTTTCCAATAGTAAGAGCACTTTCCTCGCACACACAAGGCCCCGGGATAGATCCCCAATACTGCGAAAAGAAAGACATGAAGAAAACAATATAATGTCACCTTAGAGAAACAGATCACTTGATCAGACTTATAAATACAGAAAAGAGTACAATTCCACATTAATTTGGAATTATTGTACAGAAGGGGATAAGACAAAGTTTATTTCTGTTACCATCAAGCAGTTTTGCTAGTCCGTAAGAAAAGATAAGCACTGGGGCTGAGGATGTGGCTCAAGCGGTAGCGCGCTCGCCTGGCATAGCAGGGCACTGGGTTCAATCCTCAGCACCACATAAAATAAAAAAAATAATAAAGGTGTTGTGTCCACCGAAAACTAAAAAATGAGTATTAAAAAATTCTCGCTCGCTTAAAAAAAAAAAAAGATAAGCACTACTCAGGGGAAAGTGTGAGACCATCCTAGAAGAGTGGAAGTTCACTTGGGGTGCTGGTTTAAGAGCAGGCCTGGGGCCCTGTGCTCAGCAGAGGCGAGTGTCTGCTCACCCACCTCTCAGCTGTCCCGAGATCCCATTCTTGCTCAGAGTCCTCCTTGTTCCACTGGAGCCTCAGACTTAGGAGAGGCTCTAGGAATGAAAACCAGGCTGTGAGGAGACCCTCCAGGCATCACCTCTGGCCGGGAGCGGGGAGTGAGGGAGGCTGGGAGCAGAAGGACAATTACATGTTTCTCAGTCTCTCCAGTTTAGCTCTTTCTTGGTCAGAACTGAAACAACAACAGCCTCTTCTCACCATACACTTTTCTGAGGCTCTGACTCCTTGTTGCCCGAGGTATCTCAGTTTCCAGAACTTGTATGAATCTGAATTCAGCTTTGGCCCAGAATTCTGGCTTCCTTGCCCTGATGTTCTAGCACAGACCTTCACCTCCAACCCTCCCCAGACTCCTGAGGAAAGCAAGGCCACACATCTGAGCTTCTCTCTCCTGAGCAGGACACTGGCATAAGCAAAACCTAAGTAAATCCAGGGAAAAGATTAAACAGTTCCCACAGCTAAGTCTTGTAAATTAGAATATTTCCCTGAAATGGGAATTGCAAAGGTCTTGGACAGTGTGTAGTTATTATTTATTGCATTTTTTAAAAGATGAGCTAATTGCTTTATGTGCCTTAGAACCTGGTAGACCTCAAACAATAGCCTTTCATCTCTGCCCTCTCTCTAAAAGAGCAGAAGTCATCTCGGCCCTAGCTGTTCTGTTCATTGAACAAGATTTAAGTTAAAAATTTTAAAGCCTAGCTAAAAAATGAAAGAAAGCATGAAATTGATTTTTAGCAACTTTGATAAAATACTAAGACACATCAAACCATTTTAGCTCTAAATGTGTTGGACTTAGTGCACTGTAAGGCTCAGAACCCTGAAGGGGTTGCCAGAAATCTACCCAAATATTGCAGTACTCTTAGGATGCCCTGCAAGCTCTCCTAATTTATAAAGGATATCTCACAGTCTTTAACAAATTGGCAAGGCTAACTTATAAATACTTCATGTTCACCCTAATGTTAGAAAATTATTTTAAATTAGTAGAGTATTTAATTTAGGCTTGTCTAATTTACATTAGCTTTCTTCTTATTTACTTACCAGGAATATAGAATGAAATAAATGATCTAATCCAACCAGCATGTTTTATAAAA